CTTGAGGAGGTGGGGGCAGATGTCTTGTTTACAGCTTGAGCTCTCAGCAGCAGTCACACCTGGTGTGGACAGCCGTGTGGATGTGGATGTGTGTTGGGATAGGTGTGCACCCATGCCAGAGCATGCATGTGCAGGGCAGAGGGCGACTTGTGGGAGGAGATTCTCTCCCTCCATGTGATTTTTTTCCCAGATTGGACTGAGGCCATCAGGCTTGGCAGCAAGCCTCTATGACCACTAAGCTGATCTCCATCATCACTAACTCTTGGGTGTTTTTGCTATAGCATATTGTATACATATTTCTATCCTTGTTTATGGTATTATACCTATGCAGTTTATTTTAAAATGTAAGGTAAAATTCTTGTTTTTAAAAACTGTTACTATAAACTATATAGGATAATCAGGAAACATAGATTAGTGGTTAGCCATTTATAATAATCAAATTTGTAGATAAGTTAGATATGCTTTCCAGATCATATAGAGATGTATTTTAGATAGGTAGATGGTCTTCAGATCTTTCAAAGATGTACAGAATATGGCATTTAAAATGTTTTGTTAACTTAGGGTTTTTCATGACAATGAGACTCATCTGCTCCTGGCAGCAACAATTTACTTCAGAGATAATGAGCATTGAAGAAACTCCTTATGGAGTTTGCTTTCATTGTGGCAAGGTTAGCCACTGGGCAAAGAAACTGTTCTTGCCTTTGACTGCTGACAATGGGCTGTGCAGACTGGACATGCAGGACACATAAGGGAAAAGACTGCTGACTTTTGCCAAAATAAGACAGAACAGTCCTTCAAAATTCCTGCTTCACAGAAGAGTATATTAGATATTCTGCAGGACACAGAGCAAAGTGACAAACTTTGCCAAAACAAGGCAAGACAGTCCAAATTTTCTGCTTCATAGAAATCTCTGACAGATACTCTAGGCCTATAGACTGAGGATGGACGCCCCAATGTTGCAGAAAGAACTTTGATTGTGAGCATATAGGTGTGTAATCTTTAAAATTTTTTTTAAACTGGGACTTGATAGATGAGTCAGCTGTTAAAAGCATCTTTTATTTATTTATTTTTTTAAAGATTTATTTATTTATTATGTATACAGAGGAGGGAGCCAGATCTTATTACAGATGGTTGTGAGCCACCATGTGGTTGCTGGGAATTGAACTCAGGACCTCTGGAAAAGCAGTCGGTGCTCTTAACCTTTGAGCCATCTCTCCAGCCCTTAATTCAAGTTTTAAGAGCTAGTTAGAAACAAGCCTAAAGTAAGGCCGAGCTTGTGTTGTTATTTGGAAGCTGGCTGGCAGGACAGAAAAACTCATTACACGAGGGTTTGATTTCTCAGTTATCTCTCTTTCTATGAAGCCAAACATGACCAACATACCTAACATTTTCTAACTCAGTGTTCCACTGACTGGGCATGTGTCTTAATATGTATGTTCTGACTCTTGTATAAATAAATATTTCTATAAAGAACTACGATTTAAGTCAAGACTTAATAAGCATGACAGAAGCACATTTCAGATCTGCTCCATTTTCTGGTTCATCCTCAGGGTATTGGTGTGCCCTGTGACTCTCATACACATTTTGACACTGCTTATTTGCTTACTGATCTACTGTGATAGAGGCAGAAAGCTCAGAGACCACTGATCACACCATAAATACTTAATGTCAGCTGACAAAATGAAAAGTGATTCTATAAGTTTATTAATCATAGCTAACTGTATTTCAAGTCCACTAGTTCACAAAGGGGAAATACAACTTAACTGGTAAAACGACTGTCAATTCAAAATACTGAATGAGCCAGGTGTAATGGTGTGCACTTTTAGTCCTGGGACTCAGGAGGCAGAAGCAAGTGGATTTCTGTGAGTTCAAGGCCAGCTTGGTCTACATAGTAAGTTCTAGGCCAGTCAAGGTTCATGCTGAGACTGTATTTAAACAAACAAACAAACGAACAGTTTCACTGCCAGTTAAGATTTTTACTGCTTTGTGATTTGGAACTCATTTCCAATTCTATGAATTGGAATTTTTATGAGTTTTGACTAATGTCATTAAAAAATGTATCTTGATATCAAGATAAAGTTATCTTTTTTTTCTCCCCATTTCCTTGAATTTTACATTCAAAGCCATAAGTGAAAAGGCTATTTTTTTAAAACCTTTTTCATTGACTGTGAAAGTGATGCTTACAAATACAATCAGCTCATTCAGATGACATTACATCAAGCATCTATAATTTATAATGACTACTACTAAGAATAGAACTAATATTTCTTTTAAAAATTATTATTATTGTGTGTGTCTGTAGGACATGTGGGTGCATACATGCATTTGGAGGTTCTAAAGACAACTTTTGGGAGTCAGTTCTTGGTTCTCTCTTCCTATTTTGTGATTCTGGAATTGAATTCAAGTTACCAGGCTTTCAAGGCAAGCACTTTTAACTGCTGAGCCATATTGCTGTCCTCCTCCCCTTTCTGAGAAAGAATCTTGTTCTGTATCCCAGACAGCACTTGAGCTCAAGATCCTCCTTGCCTCAGTCTACCAAGTGTGGGGATTATGGGTACACACCACCAACCTTGGCTAGAGCCAATATTTCTTGATCCATGCTGTGTGCCAGTCAGTGTTTAGTTATAAATGGATTTTCAAACTTAATATCGGTCCTATGAGATAAGGACTACTATTTATTCCCATTTTTTAGGTGAAAAAAACTGAGACGGAGAGGTTAAATGACTTGCTTAGAAAATATGGCAAATTATTTGTTTTTCTTTGAACCTAACATGGCAGGGAAGAAATAAAACATATTGATTCACAGAAGCAAGGATAATGGAGGACAGACAATAACAGTTAAGATTTTAGAGGTGTAACAACACATGGCCAATTGCCAAGAAAGCTAGCATATTGAATTACTCTAAGGTAAATCTGCATATGAAACCTGGCCAGACCCCCAGTGTGCAGGTGTCGCCTGTTCTCAGAGCCAGAGGGGTGACTCTCCAGGGAAAGTGAGAAGACAGTCAAGAGAAAAGAGCCACAGCTATGCCACTTGAGGGTAAGGGGTCTGCAGTGAAAAAGCTGGGCTTGCTTCTAACCCTCCACAGGGGAGCCCACATCAGTACTCTATCCCTTGTCAGCTTTCCCAGTGTGCGGAGCAGCTGAAGGTTTCAGTCTCAACTACGTATGAACAGCTAAGGTAGCTTTTAGAAAGCAACCAGTGTAGAAGAGAGCAAAGCAAGAATAAATTGAAACTCACATGAAACAAAAGCAATGTAGGAAACAGAAAAAAATTCCAAAGATCTATAACTGTCTACAATCAATATCCAGAGTTTAAAAATATGCATCTTACTTTATATATATATATATATATATGAAGTATATATATGTGACAAGTTCTGAGAATTTCTTTCACTTTTTTGAAATTTTCTTTTTCTTTTTGACTTCATATCTATATGAAATGGAGAAGTGAAAGAAATTCTCAGAAGTAGACACACACACACACACACACACACACACACACACACACACTCACACTAAAGATAAGAAATGCTACACGATGAATTTAGAAGTATAAACATTCAGGCTGGGGAGATATCTCAATGGGGCAAAGTATTTCCATGAAAGTGTGAGGACCAGAGTTGGATACCCAGCACCCCTGTGCAATCCCTGTGTTTGGGAGGCAAAGACAGGATTTCTGCAGCAAACTATAAAGCTAGACTACACTAGCCAGAGAGGTTTAGATTCACATGAGAGACCCTGCCTCAATATATAATAGAATCCAGGACCACAAGGCCAGGCGTGGCAGTATC